GCCCCGGCAAGTCTAGAGGCCAACCGCGACATGTTCTCGGAACCCGAAAACTTCCCAGGGACAGAAGCACTGGTCTTGCAACGGAAGCCCGATGTGCTGAAACGAGACAACCTCAGCCAGGAAGGTTCTACGCACACGTCGTGCAGACCGCAAGAGGTTCCTAGAACATGTTCTGCAGGCCTCTGTTGGAGGCCTGGAAATGGGCACCAACACCAACACAGGGGTCTGCCTCCACAAGGGGGCGATGATCCTGGATTTCGGTGCTGGTGGTACTATTCCGGTCACCTTGGAGGCCAGAATATTACCACCATCACCGAGATCGGGATCGCCTTCCCTCGGTGGAGGCGCACCGCCGACCTTGGTGCTGGTGTCAACCTCTAGGCCTGCGACTCTGGGCAACACCAGGACGCCTCGCCGCTGCCCAAGCCAGGGAGGGGCGGCAAGCAGCAGCGCCCGCAGCGGCAGCGGCCGACCGCCAGGGCGGAAGCCGCCCCCGGGCGGCCCGCGGCGCCCACGGCGCTCGCGGCGGCGGGGGCCCCAGCGGCGGCGGGGCTCCTCATTCGGGGGTGGACAGAACCCCCAACAGGGACACGTCGATTAGTGAATTGTCCGTTTTCGGTTCTCGAGAGGGCGCCGCGGCCGTTATTTTCCAGGGTTGCGCCCGCCAGGTTTGGGCCTCCGGTCGTTTTCACTAAACCACGTTTTACTAAAGGGAGGTCTGTCCACCCCCGATTCATTTCTGGGGCTCGGCCGCTCCAAGAATCTCAAGATCCGGCTGGAAAAAAAACGACTTGATGCAAACACGTGTCGTGGCAACGAGCCGGGACCTGCAGGTGAATCAGCCCCGAAACTACAGCCACGACCCTCAGACGGAGAAGGCTCGACGCGCCATGGTCCAAAGTCTGACATGGAAATCTGGCTCCTGAAAATTCCCGATGTCGTGCTGATGGGTTTCTCCGGTTTTCGCAAAAAAGTTGGTTGGCACCCGTGCCCGCCCGTGCGCGTCTCGTCGGCGTCCCGTGCGCTGGGTGGGTTGTCTGAGATCCGCCGCGCTGGCGCCCGTGACCGCTCGTGGACGCCTCGCGGGCGACCCGTGCGCGGGTGGATTTCCGAAGGATTCGCCGCGTTGGCGCCTGGTCTTTCGAAAGGAGAATTCAACAACAGCAACAACAACAATCATTTCAAGACGGTTCGCTCTTGCCTGCTCGTGTTCCATTCAACGCGTATATCCCAAACCCTCGGTAACCCACCCTCTTCGTCTTCGATCGCACCCCCCTGGGAGTACACCTCTCCCTTACATGCCGCGAGCAAAAGGCGCAGCACCTGAAACAGGGGAAGGGAGGACGGATGGTAGGGGAAGGGAGAAGGATGGAGCACGGGATTAGCAGGAGGGGTTCTGGGAGCAAAAAAACATGGGCAGAACTAGACGGGCCATCGGGCGGATAGACCCTAACGGGCGGAGCGGGAAGGCGGGCCCAAGCGGCCAGGTCGAGAAGGCGTGCTGCTAAAGCGTGAATACTACATGAACCGCGAGACAAGCTCCAGCGAAAGCGCGATTCCCAAGGAAGTAGTCAGAAAGGCTAAAGCGAGAGCGTGATTCCTGAGTGTCGAGGGCGCGGCGTCTGAATACATTGCGAGGAAGTGCCACGCGAGAGCGCGATTCCCGCATGACTTGAGAGGAAATCCCACGCGAGAGCGCGATCGGGGAATACACTGCGAGGAAGTATCCGGCGGGAGTCGTTGTTGTTGTAAGTCGGAAGTCAGGGGCCCAGTTTGGTAACAACTATACCTTCTGAAACATAGGGTGCGAGCCCTGGCAGGGGCACTCTTTGAAAAAGTAAGATGGTTACCGGGCAGGGGGATCGACAATAACTATCTCCTTATGAACGAGAGTCCAGAAAAAAAAACAGCAACAACAACCACAGCCACAACAACAACAAGATTAAGCCTGTTCGCCCTTATCTGCTCGCATGCCCTTCGACATGCATGTCCCAAACCATCCATACCCGCCCTCTTCGTCTTCGATCGTACCCCCTCAGGGGTATATCTTTCTTACTTGCAACGTGTCTGTCGTGCAGCCCTTGAGGCCGAGGAAGAGAGGACGGCTGGAAGGAAGGGACAAGTAGCAGGCGGGCTGCTGAAGCGTGCGTCCTGAATGAATCGCGAGGAAGTCTCGAGTGATAGCGCGATTCCCAAATAAATCGTGAGGAAATCCACAGCGAGAGCGTGATTACTGAGTGTCGAGGGCGCGGCGTCTGAATATGTTCTGAGGAAGTGCCACGCGAGAGCGCGATTCCTGCATAACTTGTGGGGAGATCCCGCGCGAGAGCGCGTTTTGGGAATCAATTGCGAGGAAATATCCGGCGCGAGCCGCTGTCGTTGTAAACCGGGGGCCAGGGGCACGGTTTGGTGACACCTCGCTTCCCCCTGTAAAAGACGGGGTGCGAGCCCAGCGAGGGGCATTTCTTAATTGAAACATGCAAAATGGTTACCGGGCGGGTGGGATCACCAATAGTGGTTCTTTAACAATGAGAGCTCGATCACAACAACAACAACAACAACAACAACAACAACAACAACAAGAACAACAACAACAACAACAATAACTACAACCACAACTACAACTACAACTACAACAGCTACAGCTACAACTACAACAATAACAATAACAATAACAGCAACTGCAACTACAACTGCAAGTACAACTACAACTACAACTACAACAGCTGTGGTTATTTAGCAATGAGAACTCGATCACAACAACAACAACCATAACAATAACAACAACAACAACAACAACAACAACAATCACTTTACCCGAACGCTCAGTGTTCTCACCAGTGCCAGGGTTTTCATGCGACGCCAGCCAATACCCCCACTTTGTGGGGGGGCAGTGCAAGCTCTACCAAATATCCACACGACTCTTCGCCACCACCCACACCCAGCTTCCCGCCCTATGACGTTCGGACACTTCACTTCGTGGCCTGCGGACGACCGTGGCTACTACACTGGCGTGGAGTACACACCCACAGAAGTTGTTAAGCCTACGTTCGTACACCCACAGAAGTTGTTAAGCCTTGTTAACCCACAGAAGTTGTGAAGCCTTCCACCTACGGTGCGATTCGTGTGATTTTATGATGCGCGGTGCTAAAATTCTTAAGAACCCAATGGTTTTTGGAGATTTCGGCGTGCGCGCGCGAAGAAAAAACGAATGTGTCCCGCATGGTATTATTTGACAGGGATGATGGCCCTGGCAGGTGCGCAACCGTTGTCGCAGAAGTTCGAAAAAGTTGCTCGCAAAAGCCCGTTTGACAGAAATGTTTAAAAAGTGTTGGGTTTCCTACGAATCCGCAAGAGCGCGCGGGATGAGATTTTGACATTTTTTTGTTGAAAAACCATTGGTTTTTTGATGTTTTTATGTTAAAATCGCTCCGAACACTAAGCTTTTGGAAGGATTTCGTCTTGCGCGCGCGAATGTCCACTTTACCTTATTTTTTGCAAGGGATTCTTGAAATTTGATTATATTAGAACAAGAAATGTCATTTTATAGTGTTTTTTGCAAGGGAAAACGGATTACAACAAAACAACCGGATCTGGACCCCATCCACTTTTCTGAGGCTTCCTCACGAAAATGATGAAAATGTAGCTGCGGCCTAGGCGCGGCGGGGGGGCCGTGCACCAGGGGTCCCAACAATAATTATTCTTTAGAATTAATAATGTTCAATTACTAGCACGTGGGGACACTCCGTTCTCACCAGTGCCAGGGTTTTCATAGGAGGCGGGCAATACCCCCACTTTGTGGGGGGGCCGGTTCAAGCTCTACCAAATTTCCAAACGACTCTTCGCCACCACCCACACCCAGCTTCCCGCCCTATGACGTTCGGACACTTCACTTCGTGGCATGCGGACGACCGTGGCTACTATTCAGGGCCCCGCGGCCGACGACGACGGCGTGCGCGCGCGAAGAAAAAACGAATGTGTCCCGCATGGTATTATTTGACAGGGATGATGGCCCTGGCAGGTGCGCAACCGTTGTTGCAGAAGTTCGAAAAAGTTGCTCGCAAAAGCCCGTTTGACAGAAATGTTTAAAAAGTGTTGGGTTTCCTACGAATCCGCAAGAGCGCGCGGGATGAAATTTTGACATTTTTTTGTTGAAAAACCATTGGTTTTTTGATGTTTTTATGTTAAAATCGCTACGAAAACTAAGGTTTTGGAAGGATTTCGTCTTGCGCGCGCGAATGTCCACTTTACCTTATTTTTTGCAAGGGATTCTTGAAGTTTGGTTATGTTAGAACAAGAAATGTCCACTTTAGCTTATTTTTTGCAAGGGAAAGCTGGCCGTAACAAAACAACCGGATCCGGACCAACCCGTTTTGCCTGAGACTTCCTCACGAAAATGATGAAAATGTGGCTGCGGCCTAGGCGCGGCGGGGGGGCCATGCACCAGGGGTCCCAACAATAATTATTCTTTAGAAGTAATAACGTTCAACAACAACAACAACAACAACAACAACAACAACAACAACAACAACTACTACAGTTACAACTGCAACTAAAAAAATAGCACAACATGCAATGTTCGCTGGACGGAGCGCCACTTCTGCCACGCACCCAGCGGCAACGAAGGGCCGTCTGGCACCCTCACTCTGATCTATGAGGTGCCTCGCTGCATCGCTGGCCTCCCAGGCGGCGGCGGGCCCTGCGACGACGACGACCGCCACGACGACGGCGTTTCCCACAGGTCCCCAGAGGTTACCAACGGGAGGCGGCGTGGATGACAACCATTACGGCGACAACGACAGCGAAAACGGTGACGACGACGACGACGACGACGACGACGACGACGACGACGACGAGGACGAGGACACGACGACGACGACGACGACGACGACGACGACGACGACGACGCCGACGCCGACGCCGACGCCGACGCCGACGCCGACGCCGACGCCGACGCCGACGCCGACGCCGACGCCGATGGCGGCGTCCTCGCCGACAGCGTCCGCGCGAGCGGCGCGGGCGCCGTGGCCGCGCTCGGGCCGCGCGAAGCCTCCAGGAAGGCGGACATGCTGCAAGCAAGGCCGCGCTTCGCCCGTCGAGCGGGGGGGAGCGAAGGGCCGACGGCGGGCTGGACGCCAGCTGCCCCGAGGCTCTCCGGCGGGGGCGGGGAGCGAAGGGGCGGGATAGTAGAGGGCAGGGGAGAGAATCAGCGCAATCTCCTCCTCCTCCTCCTCCTCCTCCTCCTCCTCCTCCTCCTCCTCCTCCTCGAGGAGTGGGCCCAGCGGCGGGGCGGAGACCAGCGGCACGCGGCGGGGGGGGCGGAAGGCCGACGGCGGGCTGGACTCGGCGGCGAGCGGTGGGGGGGAGCGAGGAGCAAGAGGCCTTCTCAGAAGGCGGCGGGGTTCCTCGAGGCCCTCGCGCCGTTCGAGAGGCTTTTCTCGAGGTCTTCGGGGGAGGCTTCGAGAAAACCTCTCAGGAGGCTGAGGGGACTGCCGAGCCTCCTGCGAAGGCCCGCCCCTTCTCGCTTTCCCCCCGGGCTCGCCGCCGAGGGACGCCAGTTGCCCGAGGCTCCAGGCGGCCTTGCTACGGTCGGGGGCGGCTGTTGCTTGGCGTGTCGCGGCGGCGGCCCCAGCGACAGGCTCTGCCCTGCGAGCGGACAGCGTGTCGCTCCGCTCCGCGTGGCGTGAGGTTGAGAATGGCTCGGGACGTTGGCGTTGGGGAGCCAGGAAGATTTGTTTGTCGGGGGCGGATCCTGAAAATGTGACAGCACAGACGAAGCCAGCGCGGCAACTCGACTACCGGCCGGGCCCTCACGTAGAAGCCGAAGGTAAGCGAGAATATTGCAACAAGATACTGGAAGACGCCACGATGGGATGACCGCGAAGAAGTGGGGGCCTGGAAGTGAGTCGCGTGCCGCGCCGAATCGTGGTGGGCCAGACACAGCGGAAGGGCACGCTAGGCCAAAGTTGCCGACCGTCCACAGTGGGCACGTGCGATCAGACATGGCGCTCCGAGAACTCCTTGGGCACGTTCTTGACCAGACTTCCGAGGGCCCCGAGGTGCCTCGGAGCGACTGCGGGTCCCCCGGGCCGCCGGTGGAATTGGAAAGTTCCGTGGGGCACCTGCCGGCAGGCCGCTGCCTCATCTGATGTGCCTGCTGTGCGTGCCCGCTCCTGCCATCGCTCGGACGTCCATTCCCTGTCCTTTTGTTCGGTTTCGTGCGTGGCTTTTTCGCCCAATGATCAAGAATGCTCCTCGATGGTCCTCGCCGAAGGAAAAATGCACACGTCGGAGCGATGCCAAGGGACGAGCGAGGGCTGGGGGCACGAGAGTCTGGCCAAGATCGGCGCGCGCCCCCGAAAAGCGCCGACCACGGCACGCCGTCCACGTGGTCCCGACCGGTCGAGGCTGCGACCAGCGCCCAATGCGCATCGAAGTGCACGTGCAGACGGTCAGGAGCTGCTGTTGATCGTGTCGCGGAGAAAACGCCCAGGATTGAAAACACAGTGCGACGGCCAAATTCCGAAGTCTGGGCCTGTGGAGTCCTTCGGAGCCCGGGATCGTGGAACGCCGGCGGTCTGGACACCCGACTTCTTCATCGCTTGTGTTCCCAACCCTAATTTTCGCTGCGCACTCGTTTTGAATGCAGCACTGCTGCTCCAGCCTCCATCGTCCGCCTCCTCCCCTCCTCCTCGCTGCTGCCTGCCTTCCCCTGACTGCGCAATGATCGGCTCTTCTTTCGTGAGCTCCTGGGAGGTCCAGCGGCGACATACGCTCCGCGGATCCAAACTGCTATCCCCACCAAGGGCGCTGCCAACTGCGCAGCTGTTGGCTCTTTCGTGAGCTCTTGGGAGGTCCAGCGGAGCGCAACTGACAACACTTTCGTGAACTACTGGGAGGTCCAGCGGAGTGACGCGCTACGCAAATCCGAACCAGACCTCGCCTTCCAGAGGGGCTGCCACCTGCGCAGCTGCCAGCACTGTCGCCAGCTCCTGGCAGGTCAAGCGGCGAGACGCGCAACGCAGATCCCAACTGTTGCTCCCTACCAAGGGCGTTGCCAACTGCGCAGCTGTCGGCACTTTCGTGAGCTCCTAGAACTTTCGTGAGCTCTTGGGAGGTCCAGCGGAGTGACGCGCTACGCAGATCCAAACTAGATCTCGCCTCCCTGGGCGCTGCGCAGTTGCCAACACGTTCGTGAGCTCCTGGGAGGTCCACTGGAGTGCGGTCCAACGCAAGCCAAACTATTACTCCTCATCCTGGGCTTTGCCAGCTGCGTTGGGTTTGAGACGTCCGTGGGTATGTACTTGTCTCGTCCTCCTCCTCCTCCTCCTCCTCCTCCTCCTCCTCCTCCTCCTCCTCCTCCTCCTCCTTCTCCTCCCTGGCCAAAGAGCGGTGCGAAAGGGGGCAGCTGACGTCCACTGGTGATTTTGGGCTTCCCGCGCGGAGGGCCGCTGCTCTGGAGCCGAAGCGGCGCCCCGGAGCGCGTGAACCAGAAGGGAGGAGGAGAGAGAGAGAGGGAGGGAGAGAGGGAGGGAGGGAGAGAGAGAGAGAGGGAAAGAGAGGGAGAGAGAGAGAGGGAGGGAAAGAGAGAGAGAGAGGGAGGGAGGGAGAGAGGGAGGGGGCTGGCAAGGAACGCGCGCACACATCCCTTCCCCTCGCCTCCACAGGGTTGTTGGGGGTGGGATGCTCCTTCGCGCGCTGCTTCTGCTCGTGTCCTACCCACCCCACACCTGCCTCCGCTGCGCCCGAGAGTCAGTTCCCTCCTCGCTTCCACCCCCACGCCGCCCCTTAAAAGGTGGAAGTGCGCTTGAGAAAAGGAACGGAAAAATGAGGGAGAGGGAGGGAGGACGGGTAAGCCAAGAAGAGGGACAGGAGAGGGAGAGAGAGGGAGGGAGGGGGAGGGAGGGAGGGAGAAGGAAGGGAGCAGGGAGGAGGGAAGAGGGGGTGCTTCCTCGCCCCGTGCTGTCTGATCGATCGGGCGAACAGTCTTGAGCCCGGATGGGGGGCAAATGGTGTGTACGTGTGCGCGCGCGTGTGTCTGTCTGTCTCTGTGTCTGTGTGGCTGTGTATGTGTATGTGTAGGTGTGTGTATGTGTATATGTGTATGTGTATGGATGTGTGCGCATGAATGTATGTATGTGTGTATGTGTGTACATGTGTATGTGAATGTGTGTGTATGTGTATGGATGTGTGTGTATTGATGTATGTATGTGTGTATGTGTGTATGTGTATGCATGTATATGTGTATGTGTGTTTGTGTGCATGTGTGTATGGTTGCGTATGTGTGTTTATGAGTGTGTGTGTGTATGTGTGTATGTGTGTATGTGTGTATGTATATGTGTGTATGTGTGTATGGGTGTATGTGTATGTGTGTATGTGTGTATGAGAGTTTGTGTGTATGTGTGTAGGTGTGTATGTGTGTACGTGTGTATGTGTGTATGTGTACGTGTATATGTGTATTTGTGTATGTGTGTGTATGTGTGTATGTGTGTGCGTATGTGTGTATGTGTGTATGCGTGTATGTGTGTATGTGTGTATGTGTATGTGTGTATGTGTGTATGTGCATGTGTGTATGTGTATATGTGTATGTGTGTATGTGTGTATGTGTGTATGTTTGTATGTGTATGTGTGTATGTGTGTATGTGTGTATGCGTGTGTATGTGTGTATGTGTATGTGTGTATGCGTGCGTGCGCGCGTGCGTGCGTGTGTGTGTGCTTCTGTCTGTCTCTGTGTCGTTGTGTCTGTGTATGTGTGTATGTGTATGTGTTTATGTGTATGTGTGTATGTGTGTATGTGTTTATGTATGTATGCGTGTATGTGTGTATGTGTGTATGTGTATGTGTATGCGTGTGTATGTGTATATATGTATGTGTATGTCTGTACGTGTATGGATGTGTGTATGTGTGCATGTATGTGTGTATGTGTGTATGTGTGTATGTGTGTATGGTTGTTTATGTGTATGTGTGTATGTGTGTATGTGTATATGTGTATGTGTGTACGTGTATGTGTGTATGTGTGTATGTGTATGTGTGTATGCGTGGATGTGTGTCTGTGTATGTGTATGTCTATACGTATATGCATATATGTATATATGTGTGTATGTGTGTATAAGTATATGTGCCTGTGTGGATGTGTGGATGTGTGCATGTAAGTATCTGTATGTGTGCATGTGTTTATGTGTGTATGTGTGTATGTGTGTATAGTTGTATGCGTGTATGTGTGTATGAGTGCATGTGTGTATGTGTGTATGTATGTGTATGTGTATGCGCATGTGTGTGTGCGTGCGCACGTGCGCGCGTGTGTATGTGTCTGTGTGTCTGTCTGTCTCTGTGTCGGTTTGTCTCTGTATGTGACTATGTGTATGAGTTTACGTGTGTATGTGTATTTGTATGTGTATATGCGTGTGTGTATGTGTATGTGTGTATGAGTGTATGTCTATGTATGTGTGTATGTGTGTATGTGTATGTGTGCATGTGTATGGGTATGTCTGTGCGTGCGTGCGTGCGTGCGTGCGTGTGTGTGTGTGTCTGTCTGTGTCTCTGTGTGTATGTGTGCATGTGTGCATGTGTGTATGTGTATGTGTGTATGTGTATGTGTACGTGTGTATGTGTGTATGTGTGTATGTGTGCATGTGTGTATGTCTGTATGTGTGTACGGGTGTATGTGTATGTGTATATGTGTATGTGTGTCTGTGTGTATGAATGGATGGGTGTATGTGTTTGTGTATGTGTGCATGTGTGCATGTGTGTATGTGTGTATGTGTGTATGTGTGTACGTGTGTATGTGTGTATGTGTATGTGTGTATGTGTATGCGTGTATGTGTGTATGTGTGTATGTGTATGTGTACGTGTGTGTGTGTATGTGTGTATGTGTGTATGTGTGTATGCGTGTATGTATGTGTGTATGTGTGTATGTGTGTATGTGTATGTGTGTATGTGTGTATGTGTGTATGTGTATATGTGTGTATATGTGTATGGTGTATGTGTGTATGTGTGTGTATGTGTGTATGTGTGTATGTGTGTATGTGTATGTGTGTATGTGTGTGCGTGCGTGCGTGCGTGTGGGTGTGTGGTGTTTGTTTGCGTGTGTGTGTGTGTGCGTGTGTGCGTGCGTGTTTGCGTGTGCGTCTGTTTGTGTGTTGTGTGTTGAGTGTATTGTGTGTTGTGTGCGTTGTGTGTATGTGTGTATGTGTGTGTGGGTGCGTGCGCGCGTGCGTGCGTGCGTGCGTGGGTGTTGCGTGCGTGGGTGTGGGTGTGGTTCTGGGTGTGGGTGTGGGTATGTGTGTGCGTTTATGTGTGTGTGTGTTGATGCGCGTGTGTGGGTGTGTGTGAGCCGGTGAGCCGCTGCCTGCGATGGCAGGAGCGAAGAGGAGCGGTGCTCACAACCTCCACGGAGACCTCGGGGGCCTCTCCAAGGCTCTCTAGAGGTCACAAGAAGCATCCGACAGTCCCTGGAGCGCCCGGAGTCCCCCGGTCGCCCAAACCTGACAAAAACCAAACACCAGAAGGACTTTTGATCCCACCTCCTTCCTCACATTACCCTTCACACATCCCTGCCCCAACCCGACATCCGGCCGCGGAAGCTCTCGGAGCGGCGGCAGGCGGTGAGGCCGCACCCGCACAGGAACCGTCAACCGCAAGCTGACCACATTGCAGGCGGTGGCGACAACCAAAAGCATCAAGACGGCGGCGGTGGAGACGACGACGACGACGACGATGACGCCGACGCCGACGCCGGCGACGAGGGAACGACGGTGACGACGCCGACGCCAACGCCGACGCCAACGCCGACGCCGACGCGGACGACGCCGACGAGACGACAGGGACGACGACGACGCCGACGACGACAAGGATAACGACGACGACGACGGCGACAACGACGACGGCGACGACGACGACGACGACGATGCCGACGATGAGGCTCCGACGGCGACGGCAACGACGAGGCAACGGCAGCGACGATGCCGACGGTGACGGTGGGAACGCCATCGCCGACGACGGCGACGACTCTCGCTGAGAGGTCCCTGGCGTTTCGCGCGGAATGCCCTCGCAGTTCTGTGTCGGAGACCAGGGGAAGAGGACAAAGCTTCCTCCTGTTCCGTCTCCACGTCCTCGTCCCTATCCTCCCAGTCCCCCCGTCCCTACGTCCCCCAAATCACGAGGCCTCCTCCTCCTCCTCCTCCTCCTCCTCCTCCTCCTCCTCCTCCTCCTCGGCTTCCTCCCCCCCTCCCCCTCCTGCCCCTCCCCATCGCTCCCAGACCGCCCCCTCCCCGCTCGCCACCCGCCGCAAGGCACACCCCAACCGACCGATGCCTTTTCGCAGGCCGGACGGCCTAGTCTCCCCCCCCCCGGATAAACCACCCCGCCTGGAAAAGATTACTTGGTCTGCGGATTTCTGCGGGCTTCACGCACCGAGCCACGTGGTCTGGGCAGCGGCCAAGCACAGCAGGTGCCCGTGCTTCCTTCTCTCAACAAGACCTGTTTTCATCTGAAACCATGCGTCGCATTGATGTCATGGTCGCAGCGAGAGGGGCATGCGTGACCGGGCGTCCGATCTGCAAAGCTATAAAGGGGCGGAACCAAAGCCCAACTAGAAGAGAGCCAGAGAGCAAGGAAGACAGGAAACGCGGCGACACGGACGGGGACAGAGACGCTGAGGAGGACATGGGCACGGATGGACGAGGGGTGTCAAGGGGAGGGTGGAGGCCGAAGGGGGAGCAGGATTTGGAAGGATGACGGAACGCTGGACGGACAGAGAGATCGCGCAAAGAAGTAATGAAGATCAGATGGAACGGGAGGGCGCGGCACGGGTTGCAGCGTGTATTTCGCTCGCACCCACGCCGCACAGAAAGGTCTACAGAGAAACTGCCAGGAGAAGAAAAGCCTGATTGAACTTAGGCATCTCCCTCAGGCTGGCCACGTCATGTGCTTCCAGCTTCTGGCACAAAAGAGTGCAAGAGGGATAGCGTCTGCAAAACTACGAACACGTGCCAAGAACATCCGGGTGGGCCTGGACATGGCCAACTACTTGAGAATGTCGGGTTGGAATGCTTCCTCTCGGGTTGCCTACAGTCCCGTACGAAACCCAATAAACAATTTGCGTTCCGACCTATCCACTCTTTCTCCCCATGCTACCGCAGAATCCTCACAATTACCGCCACTCGGGGCGGAAGGAGTTACGGTCCAGCATTCACAGGAAAGAAAACGGGCAAGCACTCCGACAAGGGTAGTAGCTAGAAGACCCTTCCCACACCTCCGACATCGTGTTTTGCCCAACCCGCACCAGAGCTCTCCTCGACCCCAACATTCGTATGGACTTCGTGCCGTATTTGCGCGCACATTTCGGTTGGCCCGAAACGTGTTTCGTCGACGAGAAGAATATCAACTGTACAACCGCATTTATGAGCACACCTCCGAATGAATCCAAAGGCAAATTTGCTATCACCACCGCTGTCTGCGTCGTCATCTGCAATCCGCGCTCACGATGCCTGCGGCAAAAAACAACGCTCTGAGTGTAAGGCTCTGCGGGACGAGGGTTGGCAGCCTGAGATAACCAGGAGTGCCCACATTCTTTGCGAAACTCCGTAGCTGCTGGTGCGGAGGCCCAATCTCAGAAAAGCTTGCTGCTCTGGATTCTTGGGAGGCGGCTCACCGCGCCCTCTGGCAAACCCTGGGGCTGCGCACAGACAGTCCTGGGAGGCTGGCCAGGCTGGCATCAGCAGTCAGCGTTCCGGAAACCCTGAACTAAAAAGCCTTGGTATATCTTGGGATGCTGATTCTTACTTCCGCAGGCTTCCGTCATCCTTCCGCCAGCTTCCGCTGACGGAGCCACCCCCGTTTTACTTAAGCCGCCTTCCACAGGCGTTCCGCCGCCTTCCAGCGTTGAAGAAATGGCAACTCCTGCGGTCCTCGAAAGCAAGGCCTCTTCTGGAACGCGTCATATTTTAGAACAGCCCCAGACTACCCTGGTGGCCTGTCGACGCCATACAGGACCACAGTCGCGGCATGCCAGAACAATGCAAGGGAAGGGAGCGAGGCCATTGGGCGCACACGTTGCAGGGGCATCGCTAGGGGCTAGCAAACGGAGCTGGCTGGGGACAGACCAGAAGGGCAGAGATGCAATCCGGGGCACCCTTGCGAAGCCACCTATCATCCCCCGACATCCGGCGCTCCAATGTTTTAGATGCGCGGCCCCCGGAGGCCTGGACAAATTTCCTCGGCTTCTCGTCCTGAATTGTTATTTGACGCTCTCGGGGCCCGTTGGGGGTCCCCGGGGGCCGAAAACGGAAAACGGCCAACAACTGGCCGCTCCACTTGTTGTTGGAGCCTAGAATCTCGGGTCCTTGGCACATTCCGAGGCTGTAGGGCGGGCTTTTGTTCATGACGTCGACCCCCCGAAGCTTCGACCCCTTCCCCGGGACGGGCTCTCCATCCTGAGTATGATTGTTTGTTTGACGGTCCCCGGGCCCAGCGGAGGCCCCCCGAAGCCGAACATCGTGGAAAACACCGTTCGTGCACTTTTTGTCGTACCTCGTGGGGGCCTGGGCCTCACCCTCGGCACGTGCCGCGCCTCTAGGGTGGGGGGCTGCCTGTGCGCAGCCGGGGCCCGGGGCCCTGGCCGCCCTTGGCCCCCTGGACGCCGCCGGGCGCGGCCGCAGACGCAGCACCGCCCAGCCGTCGGCGCGGGCGTGGCCCTCGGGGAGCTCCGGGCGGCCGGTCACCTCATGGAGCTCCGGCCACTCATCACGGGTGCCCGCACGCCGAGGTGGAGGCTCATGCTGGCGGTGCTGTGGCGGCGGCTGCTGACCTGCGCGCGGCCACGCGCGAGAGCGGCCCGGGCAAGAGTGCCCTCTGGTGCGCGGCCTCCAGGGGCCCCGCGGAGGCCCAGATCCAGGCGCGAGGGCCGATGCAAGGGGGACCCCTTATGGGCCCGCACCCGAGGTCACTGTGGCAAAGGATCGATCACTCTTGCGCGCAGCCGACCTGCGCCCCCTTGGGGAGCTTGCGCTGCGCCGGCGTCGCCTTGGGCGAGACGCCCTCGGGGTCGGGCGGCTGGAACTGCCCGGAGTCCTTGGGGGGCGTAGCGATGCCGATGCCGCTGCTCCACGGACCTCTCCTGAGGTGCGTTCTGACTACGCTTTCGCAGCGAATCCAGCCGTGGCACCGAGCACAACGGGGTACCCGGAGCTCTGGACCACTTCCCTGGGACCAGCGTTTCGTCCCAAGCCACTTTTTGACGGTCCTGGGGCCTGGCGATGGACCCCAGAGGCCGAAGACGGCAAAAATCCTCTGTCCTGATTGTTTCAACACGTCGGTGGCCTGGGGCGGGGCAGCGGCAGCCGCGTCGGCATCTGTACCTTCCCCCTTTGCCGAAGCAGTCCAGCCCCCTCTGCAGCAGCCGGGCCGCCTCCTGCAGCAGCTCGAGCTGCTGCTCCTCCAGCTCCGCGTCCGTGGCGGTCGGGTTCCTCTTGGAGGAGCAAGCCACGGGACGAAGACATAAACTCTTGGAGGCCCGCGCGGCTTCTTCGGGGCGGCGCTGCGCACGCCTCCGTCGCGCGCGGAGCGCGCCAGGGGCGGGCCAGGGCGCCCGGAGCGGCGCCGGAGGCTCCTCCCGAGGGATCTGGCGCAGAGCCATGACATCTGCGCGGGCCTTCGAAAGTTTAACGCCGCTGCCGCTTTTTTCCTCCCTCGACTCCTGCCGTCCCGGCTCTTCGGGCTCCGCACCTCGGGCGTTGATGGATGGTGGGGCGGCAATTTGGGGGCGGGGGGGGGGGACGTGCGCCGTCCGTTCCCCTCTTGAGCCCCAGGGGGCCCCTTTAAGGAACCCCCTGGGGCACAAACGATAGCCTCTGTCTTCACCACCAACCCCTACAATGATCGCAGCCCCATTACCCAACGCACAAGCACCGTCTTCCCGCCCTCGCCGGCGCCCCCGGCGCGCGACTCGGCACCGCCGGCGCGCGACGAGGCGCCCCCTGGCGTTTGCGGCGGCAGCGAGGGCACGGTCCCGAGCGGCACGGCTTTCCTTGGAGGCCTCCCGGATGGGGTCCGAGCAGATGGGGTCGGAGGATCGCGCCGCACGGCCGATGCATCGGCGCTGCATCGGCAGTGCATCGGCGACGTCTCGGCGCCATCGGCGTGGAGGGACTCTGGCTCCACATCGAGCCGCATCGTCGATGCTTCGCCGATGCGGAGCGACCCTTCGACCCCATCTGCTCGGACCCCATCTGGGCGGCCTAGATTCCTGTCGGGGGGCGCGAGCGCGAGCGATCCCTCCGGGAGCGCGAGGCTCATGGCGCCGCCGCCCGCCGGAGTGGGCGGCCCATCCTGGGGGGACCGGGAGACACCAGTCCTGAGATCCTGGCGTTGCAGTTTTGTCAAAACCCAGATTATTGGATACCGGATGTTTTCGGTCGCGGCCGGTACCGACCGATCGGCACTTCAAATCGGTCGCGACCGATCCCAGAATTAGAAGCACAATCGGTAGCGACGGATCTCGTCGGTCGCGACTGGAAAAACTAAATTAGCCTGGCGAAGGGCCCAACCATATGCAGTTGTGAATACCGTCGTTGTTAGTATCGCCTTCGGTGGATATCCTTTAGGGGCCACGAAGCGCGTAAAGAGTCTGCCGAAATGGGGCAGGGCGGAGCTCACTCCGGGGCAACGAAACGTGTGAGGGGTGCGCCAACATGGGGCGCGGCCGCCATGCGGACTGCGCCACTGGGACCGTGGGTGGAGTTCACCCTGGGGCCACGGAACGTGGTGTGAGGGGTGTGCCCAAATGGGGCGGCGCCGCCATGCGGACTGCGCGGGAGGAGGGAGAGGAGGAAGGAGGAGGAGGAGGAAGGAGGAGGAGGAAGAAGGAGGAGGAGGAGGAGCTGCGGGGCGCTGTCTCTTCAAAACGAGGAGGAGGAGGAGGAGGAAGGAGGAGGAGGAGGAGGAAGGAGGAGGGGGAGGAGGAGGAGGAGGAGGAGGAGGAGGGGAGGAGGAGGAGGAGCCGCGGGGCGCTGTCTCCTCAAAACGCAGACCCAACACCACAGGACGGCTGGGAAATGTCCAAAATCCTCAGGGCACCGAGCGGCTTCTCGCCCGGCTGGCTGTGGGCCCCCAGGACCATCACGGATGGATCCGGCACGAAGAGCGTCGCAGAGAGGTGGGAGGGAGGGAGGGAGGGAGGGAGGGAGGGAGGGAGGGAGGGAGTCACAGACGCTGCAATGATTTCGCAGGGTTCACGCTTGCAGGTGCGGACGGCTGTCGACAGTGACGGCTGGGTTCGCAAGTTCGCTTCGTACCGCATCCCAGACGCTGCGTCCGCTCCCTGACCTTTGCCTTGGAGCCGCAAACCAAAAAAAAATATTTCGCAACGATGGATCTCGGGGGAGACCGCTGAACTTTCGGCCTCTTCCAGAGCGCGGTCTGCGAGGGGCAGCGACGGGGTGGGGGGCACGGCTCAGGAGGGGAAGCATCGACCCAACGTCGACGATACATCGTCGATAGATCAGCAATGGGCCCCGATCGCGAAGCCGCGCGTTCCTGGGCGGGGTGGTGCTATCGGGCCCCTATCACTGGGGATCGGGGGTCGATGCGTCCCCCCCTGGGCCTAACGTTGCCCCTTACTATGGCTGGGATCCCAATCCGCCTCCGTGGCCGAGAGGGCCACCCTGGGAGCGCCAGGGATTGCGACTTTCGAAGGGAAAACACAGTCACGGGGCAATGTCCTCAGACATCAGCCCATCTGATTGTTTCAACCCGCGGCCCAGAGGCCCCGACCACTTCCCAAAGGATCTAGGTTCTTGTCCTCTGATGGCCCTGGGGCCTGATAGAGGGCCCGTGGGCCGACATCGAAGAAAAACGCCGGGATCGAAGAGAAGAGCGTGGGCCATGGGGCAATACAATGGCTGCTTCATAAATGCGCTGCAATGCCGCATAATTCGTGTATTAGCTCCGGATAGCCAGCGTAGAGAATGCGACGGTTAAATATTGAAGGGCGGGATATACATGAAACCTTTTGTCATCTGACGTTGCAAAACCAATCCCCGAACGCTGCCTGCGCTCAGGGGTTCTCGCTTCTCCTCTAGAAAGACCTGGGCCGGCCTGCCTGCCAGTCTGGCGGCTGTGTTGCCGCCGCCGCCGCCCCCGCTCCGCCTCGTCGCCGCCCGTCGTCTGGGCCTCGCTGCCAGCTTGGCGGCCACGTTGTCGCCGTCGCCACCTCGTCGCTGCCCGTCGTCTGGGCCTCTCTGCTAGTCTGGCGGCTCTGTGGTCGCCGTCGCCGCCCCGTCGCCGCCCCGTCGTCGCCCGTCGTCTGGGCCTGTCTACCGGTCTGGCGGCTGTGTTGTCGCCGCCGCCGCCCAGCCGCCACATGGTCTGCCCAACAAATACTGCACAAAATCTACTCCCCAACAAAGATTGCACCACATAGGAAGCGCCGCGTCGATTGCACCACAGATACTGTACAACACAGATTGCACAACATAGGTTGCAACATACAAATTGCACCACGTCGATTGCACCACGTAGGTTGCGCACCACCTCGATTGCACCGCATACATATATGTGTATACATATGTGTATGTATGTATGTATGTATGTATGTATGTATGTATGCATGCATGTATGTATGTATGTATGTATGTATATATGTATGTATGTATGTATGCATGCATGCATGCATGCATGTATGTATGTATGTATGTATGTGTGTATGTGTATATATATATACATAAATATTGCAACACGTAAAATCCACAAAACATGCTGCACCACATATCTTGACCCACAGCGATTCACCACATTGATCAATACAAAAGTATTGCACCATCGATGTAAACATACATATCTGAAACATACATATATATATATATATATATAGACGTACACACACACCTATATATATATATATATATACATCTCCGCTGGCACCCTCCTGGAGCGCAAGGCTGCGAAGGTGTGTACGGTCTGCTGTCATGTGTGATATGTTATCATTTGTTGTTTGGCCTTTTGTCTCTCCAGTCCTGTATCCTGCCTCCTGTTTGCTGTCTGCTAGGGGGGCCCGCCGCACCACCAAACAGCCAACGGGGGGGGGGGGACCTCAAATCCTGGCTGCTCCGGGCCACCCCAGGATTCTCGTGGTAACGCCACCGCGCGGCCAGAACGGCCCGAGAGGCCTCCAAGATTGCCCGAAGAGGCTCCGAAGAGAACCTCAGGAGCCCAAGGCGGCCCAAGATGGCCCCAAGATGTCGCACGATGACCCCAAGACGGCCCAAGATGCTGCCACGACGGCCCAAGAGGCCTCCAAGAGGCCTCCCAAGAGGGCCCAACGAAGCAAAAATCAACGATCTTCCTAACTTTTTGAAGGTGTTTGGCCTTCTCGCCTTTTCGGCTTTCCGACGCTTCGAGACGGACCAAATGGTTCCAAAGATCGCCCCACGACGGCCCTAGAAGCTCCCATGACGGCCCAAAAGGCCCCCAAGACGGCCGAAGAGGGCCCCAAGACGGTCGAAGAGGCGCCCCAGACGGCCCAACAGGGCCCTAAGACAGTCCCAAGAGAGGCCCGAGAGGGAGTCCACGAACAGAAAACTCAACCTTTCCGCCCCGAGAGGGCCCCATGAGACCCCAAGAAGGTCCAAAGAGGCCCCAAGAGGCCCCCAAGAGGCCCCCAAGAGGCACCAAGGAGACCCCCAGGAGACCCCAAGTATGCCACAAGAGGCTCCAAAGCGGCACCCAGGAAGCCCCAACAATGACCCGCAGACGCTGCCGAAAAGCCTGCCACGAGAAGCACCCACGGCGCTACCAACGCAGCCGCACGCACTAGTAATAGAGGGGCCGGTGGCAGAGGGCGAGTCCCTTAAGATATAGAGTTACACACATATGAATAGATACATACAGACGTACGCACGTACGTACATACATACAGACGTACATATACATATATATGTGTGTGTTGTGTATATATATATGGATATATATATATGTATGTGAACGTATATGTATGCATTCATGTATGCCTGCATGCAACCATACATACACGCATACATGCATGCATGCATGCATGCATGCATGCATACATGCATGCATACATATACGCATGCATGCATACATACACACATACATACATCAGCACATGCATATACACATGTTTATGTATACATGTGTACATGTATGTATATGTAAGTGTGCCTACAAACAAATTGCATAACATTGGTTACCGCTCGAATTCGACATTCAAATCTACCACCCCCCGAGTCCGGGGCCATCCGCTCCCCCGGCTGATGTGCACTTTAACAGATGACCCCACTCAATCTTTCATTCAATCTCAATCATACATATGACCCCCAGCTAGGCGACTACCGCCCCCCAAATCCTCCCGTGCAGTATGGTATATTGATACATGTTTGTACGCACATACATACACATATGCATGCGTGTATGTATACATACGTACATACATGCATGCATACATACATACACACGGTTTTACACATATGCGCAACTATATATATATATATATACACATATATATGTATGTATGTTTACATTCATACCTTAAATATGATATATGTGTTTGTGCGCACACTCGAGTGTAACAAATCGCCCATCGGCAGGAATCCTTTTGCAAACCAAAGAACGAGCTGCACACGCGCGCGTCGTCGCGTGCGCATGCCGCAACCCTTCAAAACCTGTTCAGCTCCATACGGCTTTCAAAAATGAGTGCCCCGAACACATATAACAGTATATGGTTTCCAGCGTGGCTTTTCAAAAAATACGCGCTGTTTTGTTTCTTTCCCAGAGAACTGCTACTTGTTACAAATGCTCATCGCATGCACCCTAGCGGGCCTATCGCGCTTGCGTGCCGAAATCATCCGAACGCCCTTGCTTGCGCGCGTGCGGGAGGGGGGGCGCGACACCCGTCAAATGATACCATACTGGCAACTCGCGCCCGTCGGCCGCGCGCGGTTGCCGAAATCCTTCCAAAACCTTCGTCGCCGACACGTGGACACCATCATCGTCATCGACGTGATCAGCATCGACGCCGTCATTGGCCTTCCCGTCGTCATCGTCATCGTCGTCACCAGCATTGCTACTATCATCGTGCCTGCCGTTGTCGACGTCGCCATGATACCGCGCCCGCCCGAACCACCGACTCGCACTGAAGTGCCCGCACGTCAGTACGGCCTTCGAGACGCGCTAGGATATCCCCAACGGTCAGCGCCACTGCGGCCGCGGCGGTCGTGCGAGACTGGCTGGCCGTTCTGCGCGCGAGCCTGCGCGCGCTACCGCGGCCGCGGCGGTGCGCCAGGCAGCTCCAAGCAGTCATCGCAACCGACTTGCGGATTGGTGGGTGGGGGATGATTGCGCGAGCAGTGGAGTTGACAACTTCAAGGTCGGTACGGTCATTTGCACTACATAGAAATCTCCGCGTCGATTGCACTACGAAGAATGTTGCACAACATAGGTTGCAGCATACAATTTGCACCATGACGGTTGCACAACATAGATTGCGCGCCACATAGATTGCACTACATAGGCTGCAACGTGTATATTGAATAACGCAGACTGCGCGACATATATGGCACCACAAAGATTGCACCACCTAGTCTGGTCCTCAATTACTGCACAACATACGCTGCACTATCTATACTGCGCAACACCGATTGCACCACGTAGTGTATCACATTGACCCCCACACAGGTTGCAAACAAAATCCATTGCTAGAAACACGCTGCCTAGGGACCACGCTGGCTAAGATTGCCAATTGTCAAAATAAAAACACCGCCTGAGCCCCTGACCCCTCGTGCTGCGCCATCTCTCGAACTGGATCGATCTGGGAGGGTCCCAAGCCCGGGACCGGGCGTAGACGCCCGTCGTGGACAAAATACCAAACCCTCAAAAAAAGTGTCTTGCTCTCCCCACGTCCGGCTCCGCCTCCGCCGGCGCCGCCTCATCCGCCTCCGGCGGCGGCGCCGCCACCTCGCCGTGCCCGCCGCGCGGGTCCGCCGGTGGCGCGTCCGCCGCCGCCGCGGCAGAGCCGCCCTCCGCGGGGGCGCCACCGGCGGGGCCCGCCGCGCCAGCGTGGAGCCAGGAGAGGCGCCAGGAGAGGAGGCGGTCGTGCTCCTCCTCCTCGTCCTCGCCGTCGCGCCCTCCGTGGCTCTGCTTCAGAGCGCGGGCGTCCAGCCTGCAGTCCTCAAGGGGCCCGCTCTGTGGGGGGGGAGGCTGGGTCAGAGAAGAGGCGTGAAGGGGGGCGGAGGGAGAATTGGGAAGGGAGCGGGGAGAGGGGTCAGGAGAGAGGAGAGGGAATGCGGCCAACCTAGGCAGGCCCGCGTCCTACCCATCGTCCCTTGCCTTTGCTCTAGTTTGTTCTCTATCCGCGGACGTGTGTCATCACGGATTTGGGACTCCCAGAAAGACCTCATCGTGTTCTGCGGCGTACTCGGGGAATGAGAGCTGCGTGCGTAAATGGAGGGGGAGGAGAAGGCAGAGGTTGCAGGTGAGCAGGAGGATGAGCAGGAGGAGAAGGAGGGAGAGGCAGAAGGGGGACGGAGGAGGAGGAGCGCCCGTGGCTCCAAGGGGTCAGCTCGCATAGGCGCGCCGCCTGGTTACCGGCACCTCAGCGCCGGCGAGAGTGGAAGCAGTGCTTGGGATGGTCTGGAAGAGGCCGCCTCTGAGGACGAGGAGGAAGAGGCGCGCCCGGACCTGTCCCGGCGCGAGCCGTCCGTCACGCCAGGGCCCTGTCCTCTGTTGCTGCGCCCGCTTGCACGGGAAGAGGACACCCGGGGCCGGAGACCTTCAGGTGTCCCTGGGCTGCCCGCGTGGGTGACCGATCATGGTGGCTGCAATGGCGGAGGTACCCGCATGCGGTGGGCAGCAGTGCGCGCCAGCGCCTGGGTCACCTCCGGGTCTGAATGCATCGGGCCAGGGCGGTGCCGCATGAGGTTGTACGTGTGGCACGTAGTCCTCCGCCGAGCCTAAAGGCCGAGTCGGTGGGCGATGGTGCGCGAGGGGACGCACACACACACACACACACACCACCACGCACCACGGCACTGGAAGTAGTGCGAAATCTGGTCCGTGCCGTCCTCGCAGCGCCAGCGGCACGCAAGGTGGGGTTGGCCTAGGCGCTGGCGAGGGTGCGCAAGGTCGCCGAGCGCAAGTCCGGGAAAACGACCGCGAGCTGGGCTTTGAGGCGAAGCCACCTCTGGTGGAGGTCGGCAGCGACCGCCTGGTCCGGCCACCAAGCCCGAATACGGCGGCGAATGGTGGAGTGGAGGCCTTCCAGGAACAGCACCTGGGCAGCGGCGCGTGCGTGAGTTCGCTGCAGGCGGGGCTTGCGGCGACAGCCTGCTGCCGCACCGAGCTCGCGTCGCGCCGCGGCGCTGGCCGCGCTCAAGGCTGCCCTCTGGCGCTGCTGCAGCCGCTCGCCTGGCGCAGTGATCGCGCCTGTGTCCACCGACATGATGTACTGCAGCATGAACGTGGTCTGGGCCCAGTGCGGTGCCGCCCAATGACCACGGGGGCCGGGAGGGCGTCCCGCGCTCGCTCGAGCCAGGCGTCCGCGAAGGCCCTCCATCCCGAGAGCGTGGCGTTGGCCGTGCGCCACACAGCAGCCCAAACAGTCGGCAGCAGCGCGGCAAGCGCGGGCCCGGGCGCCCAGGTGCGCAGGCTAAGCAAGTCAGCCAATGCAAACGACTTCGGCGGGGCCGTCAAAATGCGGTGCAGCACGTCCAGCTCGCCTCTGATGAGGTCCTCCGGCATGGGAAGCAGCTGGGAGAGGTAGGTCAGGACGAAGACAACTGAGCCGGAGTAGGAGGAGTAGGAGGAGTAGGAGGAGGAGGAGGAGGAGGAAAGGAAAAAGAAAAGGCCAAGGAGGAGGAGGAGGACGACGACGACGACGAACAGCAGCAGGAGCTGGAGTGGAAGGAGCGGGGGGAGCAAGAGGGCTGGAGGAGGAAGAGGGGCGGATCCAGAGAAGCAGCAAGCGCTGCGGCGGCGGGATCGCCTTTTTGAAACTCTGGAAAAAAAACACTGTATTCAAACTATATGATAATGGTGTCACTGTGGAGGGGGAGGGAGGCGGAGGGGGGGGGGAAGGAGGATGATGAAGATGAGGAGGAGGAGGAGGAGGAGGAGCAGGGGGCGGATGGGGGACGAGGGGGTCAGGAGGGGCGAGAGCAGGAATTCGCGGAGGAGGGGGAGGGGGAGGCGGAGAAGAGGGAGGAGCAGGAAATTGAGGAGGACGAGAAGGAGCAGGAGGAGAGGGCTGCACGGAAGCTGCTCCACTGGCAAGCCCTGGAGCTGCGCACAGACCACCCCTCCGAGGTGGCCCCAGCTGCCCTTAAAGGGGTCCCGAGGTAGGCTAGCTCTCTTTAGTCTTTGTCGATGCGGCAGGGTGTCGACATCGACACACTGGATCAGCGTCCACATCCACACCCCGCTGGAAGCTTCAACGTTGATGGCCGTCGGTGCTCATCAGTCCCCTGGGTCGGGTGTTCGTTAGCCGGGGGCTTCTGGACGCAGGGTCAAGAAGCGCGCACCTTTCGTGCACCCTTCGGGCCCGTGGTGACAGCTTGGGCGCCGCTTCAGGGCCCAGTTTAGGACCAGTCCCACCAGCCCTCTGGGCGTCGGTGGTTTAACGAGTTTCCTCTTCCACCCCTCCTTCTTCCTCTTCGGGGAGGGGTTTACCCCTCCCCCTACCCCCTCCCCACTGACCTGGACAGGGGGGGCCGCGATCGATCAGAGCGTCCAAGATCGACCCCTCGGAGGGCTAAAATTCGACACCCCTCACGAGGATCGTGGCTCCTGAGGGGGGGGCTGAAATTTAGGAACCCCCCTTCGTTGATCGATCTCCTCCAAGATGGCTCCGAGAGACGTCTTGGACCCCCTCTTGGGCCCTGCGCGCGGGCGGGCGGAGCGCCGCCCGCCCGCCCGCAAGGCCCAAGAGCCCACCAAAACGTTCGAAGATACCTCCAAGACGCCACCAGGGAGGAGGAAGAGGCGGAGGAGGAGGAGGAGGAGGAGGATAGGGGGAGGAGGAAGCGGAGGAGAAGGAGGAAGAGGGGGAGGAGCACAGCTGCCGATCATCGGCGCTCTTCGTTCGAGTGCCTGGTGTAGGATGGGCTGGTGGGGATACGCGAAGCGTCAAGAATTTACCGCACTGCAGTCCTCGATCCCCCCGCGTCTATTGCCCCCCGCCCTCGCCGCCCGTCAGGCTGAAGTAGTCCAGAGCGGCCGCAACACCCTGGTACCGCACCGAGACACGCCGAAACGCTCCGCACCCCAGGACTGAAGCACCGAGGCCGCTCTGGACCAACTCCGGGGGGCCCCCCGGGCACATCCGGGACCACCTCTGCGGCGGCTGTCTGTACGCAACCCTACGGCATGCTTGCAGGATAACAAAGCTCCCGCCGCACGAGATCCGTGCTCTTCTTCCCCAAGCGATCGGGCAGGAGGAAGAGACGAGGGGGAGACGTCCTAGAGTCGTCAGACGCCTGCCCACCAATTGGGGAGCTGGCAGGCAGGCGCGCGCCGCAGGACCGTCCTCGCCCTGGCCTGAACCTGCAGCGGTGGTGCCACAGGCATCGAGAACGAAAGCGGGGAGCCCGTGGGAGAGCCTGCCGCGCCCTTCTCTCCCGCGCGAGTCGAAGACGCGCCAGCCGCCCGTCGCAGCCAGCCAGGGGTCGGCAGGCCACCCTGCCGCAGCACGAGAGAGACAAGGAGAGAGGAAGACAGAGAGAGAGAGAGAGAGCGAGAGCGAGAGAGAGACAGAGAGAAAGAGAGCGAGAGAGTAACATATCTATATATATATAGAGAGAGAGAGGGAGAGAGAGAGAGAGAGAGGGAGAGAGAGAACGAGTACTTAAAACACGTGATAGCGAGCATCGGTAAAGGTCTAGAGAGAAAGCCACATGATAGCCAGTGGACCCCATACAATGAATTATTGCACGGAGATGGTGGTGCATATGCGGTGAAAGCTCCGCGGTGCAAGCTACATAGTGCTAGCTACGTGGTGTAAGATATGCTTTGTAAGTTGTATGGTGAAGGCTATGTGATGCAAGCTATGCGGTGTAAGCTATTCGGTGTAAGCTATGTGATGTGAACCAGGTAGTGTGAGCTATGCAGTGTAGCCTTAGGGATGTGAGCTCTGCCGTGCAAGCTGTGTGGCGTGAGCTGGATGGTGCAGGCTGTGCGGTGTTGCTTGAGTCGTGCGAGCCATGGGGTGGGAGCTGGGCGGTGTGGGGTGATCATCTGGTGTGGGCCAAGTGCTGTAAGCCATGCCGTGCAGGCTGTGCGGCGCGAGCTCTGCGATGTGCTCGCCGCGGTGCAAAGCTTCCGGGAAGTGCAGAAGCTCCCTGGAAGTGCATCGAACTACGTCATCGCGAGGCGTGAGCCCCCCTGAGGCCGAGCACTGCTGGGGGGTGCATGCATACACGGAGGGAGAGAGAAACAGAGAGAACGATACCGATGATGCAAAGAGGGGTGCCGAGAGAGGGGGGGCGAGGAAAAAAGAGAGAGAGAGAGAGGGAACACATAGGAGACAAACACGAATATGCAGAAAGGGGACCAGGATTTGGAGGGTCGATTCCATCCGCGGCGATGAGTCCACCTCCAACGATGCCCTGATCGGCATAAACAAATAATAGTTCTCCCTCTCCTTCCACTCCTCCTCCTCCTCCTCCTCCTCCTCCTCCTCCTCCTCCTCCTCCTCCTCCTCCTCCTCCTCCTCCTCCTCCTCCTCCTCCTCCGTCTCCTCCTCCTCCTCATCATCATCCCCCTACTTCTTCTCCTCCTCCTCCTCCTCCTCCTCCTCCTCCTCCTCACCATCACCATCACCATCACCATCACCATCACTATCACCATCACCATCACCATCACCATCATCCTCATCACCATCATCACCATCACCATCACCATCATGATCGTCATCACAATCATCATCATCATCATCATCATCATCATCATCATCATCATCATCATCATCATCAGCATCAGCATCATCATCATCATCATCATCATCAGCATCATCATCATCAGCATCAGCATCACCATCATCAGAAATCATCATCATCATCATTGTCGTCGTCGTCAGCAGCATCATCACCATAACGATCACCATCATCAGCAGCATCATCATCATCATCATCATCATCATCATCATCATCATCATCATCATCATCATCCGTATCATTATCATCACCACCATCATCATCAGCATAAATATCAGCAGCAGCATCAGCATCACTGTCATCATCAGCAGCATCAGCATCAGCATCAGCACCACCACCACCATGATCATCCTTATCATTAGCATCATCGTCATCATCATCAGCAGCATCAGCATCATCATCATCAGCAGCATCGTCATCATCATCACCACCACCATCATCATCATCATCACCATCATCATCACCATCATTATCAGTATCCTCATCATCACCACCATCACCACCATCACCATCATCATCACTAACAATAGCAACAGCATCCACATCATCATCATCAGCATCATCATCATCGTCAATAGCAGCAGCATCGTCATCAGCACAAGCATCAGCATCATTAGTAGCACCCATCATCATCACCTTACCAGAATTTAGCGTTTGCGCGAAGGGCTACAGGGAGGACGGGATTCCTTGGCCGGCCGGGAGATCGTGGACAGGGGCAGGGACTTTGTGCCCAGGTCTCGGCCTCCGCGGGAACGGAGGGAGGAGGGCCGGTACGCTGCGGCGCGGGTGAGGAGGGGAGGGAGGAGGGGGGGGAGGAGGAAGGGGAGGAGGAGGAGGAGGAGGAGGAGGAGGAGGAGGAGGACGAGCATGACTGATGCTGGATGAGCCGACCTTCGGCCGTGGCCCACGCTCCCACACGATACCAGACTGCCAAACCCTCGTGGCCGCGAAGACCGCCGTCGGGGGTCCCGCGTGACTGGGGTAGAGGCCCTTGTAAGTTTTGAGGAGAAAGCAGTGGCCCGTCTTGGGGAGGCTGCACCTTCTAGCAAGCCCGTCGACCTTCTGCGTGGACACGTCATTGGAACGACAGGTGACCGAACAGCTGAGCGAGGCTTGATGGAACCTGCAGGTGTGTCCTGGGGGCCTCTTGGTCCGTCTTGGCGCTCTCTTGTGCCGTCTGGGGCGTCATTGGTGTCTCCTGTGGTTTTCTGGGTGCTGTCGGAGGACCCTATTGGGCTCTTGGGGGGCTGGGCTGCCTGGAGCCCTCCACGGGACCATCTGCAGCTGTTTCAGTACCTCTTGGGTTTTCCCGGCGGCCTCGTACAAGCCGCGAGCTCACTCTGCGAGCAAGCCCTCTGCTCGGGGGCGCCTACCTCAGACAGCCCCCATAAACCCGACACGCATATGTCCAGGAGGCTCCCCGACGCCTCGCTGCGCCGTCGCTTCTTATATGAAAACCGATCATCTGAAATGGAGGGGGAAAAACCCAACGGCCAACACGGAGCTACCACCAACAACCTGGCATCCACCCCGTCGCTTTTCCGAGGCCATCCCCCGCCATCCCCCAGCAGCCTCCTCGGCCATCCACTCATTCGCTGTTCCCTATTGATACACGCCCCCTCCCCCAGGCGACTAAGAGCCAACCGAGGACAATGAGGGCCCCCACCCACCATCCCTCGCAAAAAAACAATGTTAAACACACTCCGCCTGCAAAATCGGAACATGCGCAGAAAACCCGATGCGGCCTCCCCCCACCATCCCTATCAAAAAACAATGCGGCGGCTGCGGCGGGGGCAGCGGCTGCGGCGCCTGCGGCGGTGGCGGCGGCGGTGGCGGCAACGACGGCAGGGGCGGCGGCGGCGGCGGCGGCGGCAGCGGCGGCGGCGGCAGCGGCAGCGGTTGCGGCGGCAGCGGCTGCGGCGGCGGCGATTCGGCAGCGGGTGCGGCGGCCGCCCAAACACACTTTGCCTCCAAATTCAGAGCATGCGCAGCGAACCCGATGCGGCCAACCCCGACCATCCCTGTCGAAAAACAATACAATACACTTGGCGGCGGCGGCGGCGGCGGCGGCGGCGGCAGGGGTAGCGGCTGCGGCGCCTGCGGCGGTGGCGGCGGCGGGCGGCGGCGGTGGCGGCGGCGGCGGGGGCGGCGGCGGCGGCGGCGGCGGCGGCGGCAGCGATGGCGGCAGCGGCTGCGGCGGCGGCGATTCGGCAACGGGGGCGGCAGCGGCGGCGGCGGGGCGGCGGGCGGCGCGGCGGCGGCGGCGGCGGACAGCGGCGACGGCGGCGGCGGCGGCGCCACGGCGGCGGCGGAGGCGGCGGCGGCGGATTGGCCCCCAGGAGCTGCCCATCCAAAGACGGCTGCTGCATATGCTGAGGCTCGGGCCAGGCTCGGGTGCTACGTATGTGTTGGGAGGGCGGGTGGGAGTGAGCGAGACGGCTTGCGAGCGGGGAAGGCGTTTTGGCTACCCCCCCCCTTAGCCCCCACCCCCACCCCAACCCCCAACCGCCCCCGAACCTCCCCACGTTCACCTCCCAGCCAGCCGCCCCGCCGCCACCACCCAGCTATCCTGCGGCCGTTTCCTGACCCATCCCCTCAGCCATCCCCACGGAGCGGAGACAAGGCATCGAACAAGGAGTAGAAACAGTGGATCCGTGGGATCCATCCAATGCGCGCGAAGGCGCGTGAGTCATCATGCCTGGTCCAGATGCGGGCTGCTCCCGGAGTCTGCACTGCGGGCGCGGCCGTCGGCCCTGAACTCAGGACAGGGACAAGAAGGCGACGGCCGTCGACGCCGGGGTGGCTTCTCCCGACTTCCACGGTGACTGGAGCTGAGAAGGGTGCTGCTGCACACTTGAAAGAAAGCTGGGGCATCCACAGTACTTTGTCGGTCGGCAAGGTAACGACCGCCCCTTGGCAGACGGAGCGGAAGCGGCCAGGAAGGGGCGGAAGGAATGACGGGCAAGAATGGAGGGAGAGAACGAAGGAGGCGGGGGGGGCAAGAAGACGAAGTCAGGGATGGACCGAACGCCCAGGGGAAGCAGGGGAACAAGGAAGGGACGAAGGAAGGAAGGAGGAGGTTGCAGGAAGGAGGGAAGGAAGGGCTTTCATGGAACGCTATGGGTTGATCCCGACGCCGCCTGAGACTCTCTTGAACGTTTCGTGGGCCACTTGGGGGTCATCCTGCACCCCTTCTTGGGCCATCGTGGCATTTTGGGAGTGGGGGAGAAGCTGGGGGCCGTCTTGGAGGCCTCTCGGGGCCATCTTGGGGCAGTCTGGGGCTGATTGGAGCATTCGTGGGCCATCTTGGGCCCCTTCTGGGCTGTCTGGAAAGTCTCTTAAGGCCGTTGTGGGACCGTCTCAAGCCCACCTTAGGCGGTGTTGGAACCTTCCTGGGCCGTCTTGAACCACTCTGGGGCCTGATCCATGCTGGTCACGAGCTTCGCTCTGACGGATGCATATCGTTCTACATTTCACTGCAGATCCTATACTTCCCTAATCAACGCAACTCGATTGGCGATTTTTTTTGGACGGTCTGGAGGGGTGACGCGAAGCGTTACTGGTCAGGGCACGGGGATGTCAGATGACAGGCGCAATGCCGCAACGGGGGCTGAGCAAAGCTTTGAAGGTGAGAGATCGAATAAAAAAGAACTGTGTGGGGAAGAATTCGGGAATCAGCGGGGAAGGGGAGTGGAATTGAAGGAAGGGGAAGGAGAGGTGGGGTCTGGGAACACCGGGGAGAGGATAGAGACGCGGGGGGAAAGTGGCACAGGGACCAGGGTGAGGACGAAGGAGGAGGAGGACGAGAAGAAGAGCTTCAGGAAGTGGGAAGGTATATGTCGGATGTGAGAGAACGAGGGCGGGCAGGCAGGCGGAGGAGGAGAGAACTAACGGCCACATGTGGTTCGGAATGGTGCTCTCGCCTTAGCGCTGGCTACATTTAAGTAATCGGCTGGCTGGACCACGAAGAAGCCGAAATCCTCGGCCTCAGGGGGATTGGGCGAGCCCCTCCGGTCTCCTCCTCTTCCTTCTCCTCCTCTTCCTTCTCCTCCTCCATCCCTTCTCCTTATAAATAACTCCTCCCTGTCGCACCCAGAGGCCAGTTTTTAGAGCAGGCCGGGCGTTTCGCCTGAGACTTCCTCACCACTTATGATTCTGAAGCTCGAAAAAAAGGCACCAGCTTCACAGATGGAGGGCGGGTCGCTTTAAAAAGGTTGCTTTCGTCTTAGAGCCGCGCACATTCGTTGAAACAACTCCACGAGTTGCACTGATTGAGGGCGGGTCGTTTTCAAAATGTGGTTTTCGCCTTAGCGCCGCAGATATTCGTTTTAACAAGTTGCAAGACTTTTACGGATTGAGGGCGGGTCTTTGTCAAAATGTGGCTGTAGCTTTAGCGCCGCGCATATTCGTTCTAATACTTTGCAAGATCTTCACGGATTGGGGGCGGGTCGTTTTCAAAATGTAGCTCTCGCTTTAGCGCCGCGCACATTCGTTCTAACACTTTGCAAGATCTTCACGGATTGAGGGCGGGTCGTTTTCAAAATGTGGCTCTCGCTTTAGCGCCGCGCACATTCGTTTTAACAATTTGCCAAAGCTTCGCTGATTGATGGCGGTTCCTTTTCCAAATGTGGCTGTCGCCGTAGCGCCGCGCACATTCGTTTTAACAAATTGCAAGGGTTTCGCGGATCCCCATGATCAACGTACAAGAAATGGTGTTTTGGAAGGATTCAGGATTATGCGGCCGCAACAGTTATGTTGATTCGCTGTGTTGAAGTCCCACAAATGGCATTCTGGCACGATTTTGGATCGTCAAGACGCAGCAGTCAGGTTGACGTGGCGTTGAAATCCCGAGAACAATGTTTTGACATGCCTCAAGATCTTCAAACTGCTGTCTTCCAACGAGGCAGTTCCCTCACTGGAAATGAATCGTTGTAGGGGCCTATGACAAGGGAGCATGGAGGGAGGGTCAATTCCAACATCGTTGATGGCTATTGGATTTCCACTGGTCCTCCTCCTCCTCCTCCTCCTCCTCCTCCTCCTCCTACTCCTCCTCCTCTTCCTCCTCCTTCTACTACTCCTACTCCTGCTCCGCATCCTGTTCTCGAGAGGGTTGGAGAACAGGGAGGCAAGTTGCAGACCTGTGTCCAAGTGCACTTGGGCCTACGGGCCTGCTGGTGCGATCGACTATGAACGTTGAGCTTTCGCGGGCACAAGATAGAGACGCGCGGGATGTCGAGTTTCTGAGGCCTTGGAGCTTCCAGCACGCCAGGGAGAGCAAACAGGGACGGCAGCGGGAGGCTAGCGAATCGACAAAACTTTCGGCACCTCGATGCAAGAACCATGCGCGCGCCCCCTCATCGAGGAACGTACTGAGCGACAGTATTAGCGGGAACTCGGTTCACGCATTTCCCGCACCTCTTTTCGGACCCGCCCACTTTGGACTCCCACTGGCTTGGCCTCTCTTGATCAGCATGCGCCCCTGCATTGCAGACACTTGATGCGCCACGAGTGAGGTCGAAGAGGCAGCCATGCCAAGGCCGAGGCGCAGCACTTCGCGAACGAACCGTCAGGGCACAAGGGCCCATGTCAGTGAACGTACAAGCAGGAGGAGAAGCGCCAATCCAAGCAGGAGGCAGTTGAACCAAAAGAGCGGAATGGATATGATGACGCGACGTCTGGTCAGTGAGCATGCTGCGGCCGCAGTGTGTGAACGGGCTGTGGCTGCAAGTTGGCCCCATTACG